AGACAGTTCCCAAGCAGCGATCGCTGCTCCCCGGCCAACCCTCCCAGTGTATACACTGAGCATGACGTCGTATGGTATGGAATAGCCCTTTGGTCAGTTTGGATCAACTGTTCTGGCTGTGCCCCCTCCCAGTTTCTTGTGCACCTGGCAGAGCATGGGAAGCTGAAAAGTCCTTGACTGGCATAAGCAGTACTTAGCAACAACTAAACCATCAGTGTGTTATCAACATTCTTCTCATCCTAAATCCAAAACACAGCACTATGCCAGCTACTAGGAAGAAAATTAACTCTTATCCCAGCCGAAACCAGGACACCATGGAAGGTACTTTTCTCACTACCTTCTGGAGGCAGAGAAAAGAGCAAAAAGATAAACATGCAAGATGCCAAACACCATACCTTGGCCCTGTCTACACAGGGGTTCAAGGAAGGCAAATGATACAGCTATTGCGTCTGTCTTCCCATGAGATCACAGTCTTAGCCTCCCCTGAGCGAAGCTTTGTCTCTCTCTTCTACCTCTTGCTAATAGCCAAGGAAAGTTCATCAGGTAAACATCTGTGGGGTCCTTTTTCATGGTGTGCTCTCCTGTGAGACTGTGTATGCTTGCTTATTTAAATCTGCTTTGACTAATAGATGATGTGTAAAGTTGATTGAATGATTGTTGACATTAGCTTTAGACTCTTCCTTACCTACTAAACTTCACAGGAATGAGACAAGTTGTAGAAACTCCTTTGGTTTTCCTTATTTATGATTCTGTTGTCTTGCAGTTGTTATTTACGTGTTTATCCTGTGATAGTTCTTTTCTGTATGCAGTTAGAGCTTTATCCGTTGCTTTCCAGACAAGCTAAGACTTTGAGGAAGCTTTTGGGGTTTGGAGGGATGTTGTTTGGTCGCTTGATTGAACAACAGTGAGCTGTCATAATCTAGATTTTTATCAGAATGGCATCTGATAACATGTCACATAACACGTAGTGGTTAGCTGGAAGTAGCTGTTTGAAGGTCTGTTTATTCCCTGCAAATCTGCAGCTGTGGTCTGTCACCAGGATCTTTAATTGCACACATCTGCACAATGGTATTGCAGTACGCTCTCCATGTTTACAGGTGTTACTGCTTGGATTCAGCTTCCCAAATTACTCCTGTTGTGTATGGCCATGGTGCAGTTTCTATTTTCAAATTACGGGAAAGCCAGACTGTTTCCCAATCTCTTGCCCCATCACCTTCCAAAAAAGCTTGCTTTATTTTGGGAAATCCCTGACTTTTAGGTAATCAAAGTATCTCTCAAAGGTTTTTATCCTCTTTTCAGAAACTCAAATGCTGTTTTCTTGTGGTCTTGCAAGAGGTTTTCTGACTCGTCTTTATATTAATCTTGATCTTGGCTTAGCTTTAGAGTAGGCGTGTTGCTTTTGTGATTCCTGTTCTGGAAAAAAGCCAAGTCACTTATCATATAGCTCTGCATTTCTAAAGACAATACTGATTCCTGCTTACTTGATCCCCTTCTGTCAAAGCCTGAAGATTGCATCTCTGATCAAAGGGTTGTCTTCTTCATACCTCATACTATTCTTTTTTTTAAAAAAAAAAAAATACAGTGCTAGTTTCAATTGTGTATGCATGTCTTGGGCAGTGGAGGTGATAATTAAATGGAGACGTTTGAAATCAGGTTAGGAATCAGGTGGAGGAATTGAAGGGACAAAGGAAGTTAACAACGTTATTTGTGTGAGCGTAGTATGCAGTGAACAGCTGAGGACCTAATTCACTTTCTGTGCTGGTACTTCCAAAGCATTTTGCAGTTTTTTTCTGGTTTTGATCCACAGGCAAACAGGAATCACGTTGGCTTTTTCTGTAGTAATAAAGTAAACGCTGCCAAGGAATATTTGTTCCCAGGTTCCCGAACATGATTATTTGTACTGTCAAATTATCCAAACAGTCCTTGGCAAGGTTTTTGTCCCGTGACAAGTAGCCTCTCCCAACAACTTCTTCCACTGCTGAGGACCTACCATGGTCCAGGGACTGTGCCTGATAGGCAGCTTGAGCATCACCTGCGCTGAAGCCTGACGGTGTAGAGGCCAGCTGACCTCAGTGTCAGAGAACTCTTCTGGGCACATTCAAATGCTGTGTATAGACTGTAGCTCTTAAGCGCTAGAAGAGTGTCTTTGTGCTAAATCCCATGGTCAGGAGCATTCAAGGTGACACCCCTTCCTGAAGAAAGTTACGTGTTGATCATTTGTATCCTATCAGCTTTAAAATGCTACTACTTTGATGTCTGTGTGTGGGAATAAACCGTAAGATGACACAACGGCCCTTTCACCTTCAGAGAAGCTGTAGACACAGGATATTTGCAAGGTTTCCTTAGCTGCGTAACCACAGCCGTTGTGAACATTAGGCATCTTGAAAGTGAAGTTGGCATAATGCTTCTCTGATGCAGTATTTGTTCTGCTTTCTTTATGAAGAATCAAAATCCATCAGTTATTTTTCAGCATGTTTTTATAGCCGATGTTGCAATGTAATAGTCATCATCACCGTTTTAAATCTCTTGGCCCTTCATGTGCCTTGGGTTGCTTCTTGCAAAGGAGTTATGTGAACGTAATGTTTGTAAAATGCTTTGAAGATGAAAAGCTCTACAGTAGGTTTTTATTATTACCAGAGGCAAAGTGAGCAGCAGTGGCTTAATGTTGGACTGTTCATTTCCCAAGAGATGGCTTTGTTTTGAAGAGTGCACATTATCAATTGGGTTGGAGACAAAATTATCTTATTTCAATCCTGAATATAAATAAATCGGCAAACTTTCTACCTTGAGATTATTTGCATGAGATATTTGTAAAGGAGCAGAGCAGTTATGGTACTATCTATGGCTCTGTTCTTAGCTTACGTTTAATGGAACATTTATTTTATGTATTTGGCTTCTTACTATCCAAAGGTATTTTGAATCCAATCCGTTCAAACATCCTTATATATATAACAATATTCTTATATCTATACGATATATAGATATATATATTTCTCAAATAAATATCTCATCTATATTTGAGATATATATTGCTCTTCTAGAGATACAATCCATTTCAGCATGTAAATAAGAAAGTGGTCTGCATTCAGAAATGGTGATGTTTTATTAGACTTCGGTTCACAGACAGTTTTTCACATGTTTAACCTACTGCATATAAAAGAACTGGCTTTTTTTTTAGTAGTGCTTTAAATATTTCTTGAATAATTTTTATTTCCAGCCTGCATCCACATCATAAACTGATAGGTGGTTGTACAGGGACATAAAAAAAAGTGAGTTGTTTGGCAGTTCTCAAGCTACTACTGTTTCCTTGCAAGTTAGAGGAGAAGGGAGGGAGCTGCATCGTTCAAATGGAAATTCAACTTCAGCTCACTAAGCAGGGGACTGCTTCAGGGACACGGATGTCCTCACGTGGTTCGCTGTCTCCCTTGCCCTTGCAGCAGGTCATCGCTTCCACCCAGCAGTCTTGTTTTGACAGAGCTGTTTTGTGGTGTCAGCACAGGGCGCCTTTGGGGAGCCAGCGCTGCTGCAGCCGGGGATTTCTGAAGCCGCTATTGTCGGTGGAGGGGCCGCTGGGCCGCAGCCAGGCGCGAGGCACTGCATCCCTGCGGCCTCGAGCGGGCCGCCTCGCTCGGTGCAGCTGCAAAAGCTTTGGGCTTCTGCCTGGCACTTGCAGAAATCGTTGTGGAATTTGCTGATTCTGCCAGACGCGAGCTAAACACTTGTTCCCAAGTGGTGTGTCCCATCAGTACAGCTGTTGGTTATGAAAAACATGCAAGGGCTTTCATCCGTAATAATAAAGCTTTGTTGAAGTATTGCAAGCTCAAAATGTTCTGAGTAATACTATCAAGTAGTACCTCCTTGCTTAGCCTATAGGGAGCTTTATTCCCCCACGCTTCAGTTAAAATGTTCGTTTATTGTTGTCACTTATGTCAGAGGTGGGGAGGGAGGGAGGCTAAATTTTCCCTCCATACTGACAGTAAGGATTAACTGACATTGTTGGGCAGTGCTTTCAAAATATTCTGACCTATTTACACAACAAAACTGATCAGAACAAAACAAACAGTTCTGGTCAGCGGCTGAATGCTGTATTGTGGCAGCTATATTTGGCAGTGGATTTTCTCATCATTTTTCCAATGTAGACAAAACCTGAATGCTACAGAAATCTTAAGCATTACAAGCAGGTAATACCCTTACTGAGTAGCTTGATGCTCCTGTTGCCTTTTGGGGAAAAGGGACAGTTTGGCCATAATTCAGTTGGAACAAATGCTTATGAAGCAACTGACAAAAAAAAGCATATGAGTAGATTTATCATTTTGCCATGCAGGGTAATAAATAATTGCAACATTTCCAGCAAGCCGTGATATATCCCTGCGAGATGGTGGATCTCTCTCCAAGGTGTAATCTCTGCAAGGAAGCATTAAATAGGGAATTGTGACAGACTCTAAGAACTGTTGGTTTCCTGCTTGGGTTTTATTTTTTCATTTTGTAACAACCATAGTGGGTACTTGCAATTACCTCCTCATTTTTATGTGGTATCCCCTAAGGAATGGATTGAGAGAAATGTTTCATTTTAGCTATTTGGACAACCAGTCTATATTTCCTGGGTCACAGATTTTTTTGTTAGTTTGGAGGATAAAATTGCCTGACACTCAAGATAGGAAATACCTCTTTCTGTCTTGCATCTTCACCTCAGATTCTGCGAATACTAAAATGAAGCCTTTTTGAACTTGTCTTTTTTTCCCAATTCCATTTAGTGATAGTCCCAATGCTGTCCATGAGGTGGAAAAGTGGTTACCACGACTGCACTCTGTTGTCATAGGACCTGGCTTAGGTAGAGATGAAGTTCTACTTGAGAACGCTAAGGTAATGTATATACTGATATTTTATTCTGTGTCTTTATGTTGAATTTTATTAACCAATTTGCCATCTTTTACGTGATTACACAAATGTTTTTGATAGGGTTACTAAATTAACAAATTTAATAAAATATTATTGACTGAAAATTACAGCTGTTAGTCATGGTCTTCATTATTAAACTGTAGGCATCACTCTGAATTTTAGGCACCCATATGGTTGTTTTGATTTGTTTTTGTTTTGATTGTGAAAGTCGCTAATTAAGAAATAGATGTTGGCATCTCTAGGTAAAGGGCTCTGTGTTTTCTTAGGTGCAAAGCACCTGTACTGTAAGAACATAAATACGAATTTGAGTTCGTAATTTTTGGAAACATATTTGACAACTTGTATCAGGGAGGTACCAAAGAACAGGAACTGTGTCCCCTTGCAATAAGAAATAATACTCTTAATTATAAAACGTTGCAGATTTCTACTCTGGATAAAGAGGTAATCCTATTTTCTGTCAAGCCTTAGTGGAGAGCTGAAAACAGGAGCTTAGATAGTTCTGTACTCTAAATAATATGTACTTACACCGTCGTCCAGATGATGTCTTCTATAACTGTCAACACATCTTTGCACATTCAAAGTATATCTTTCAGTCTAATGTCAATCTGATTTTGTACAACTTGCATTTTTTTTTCCTGAGAAGTATTACTGAATGTGGAATTAATATAATTTACAGAAATGTTGACAGTTACACAGTGAAATTGCAAAACAGGGGAGGCAAGAGAGTGGAGACCACACTATCCAAGTAGTTTAGAATGCTTTGAGAGCTATGGAGGGTGGTTTTGCTAGGCTTTTGTTAGAGAAAGTTGCTATTGGAGCTCTTCACTTCTTTATTTCTTCTTCTGCTTCCAAAAAAATGTTTGATTTATGATATACAGGTGCAAAACTAATAAAGAGCATGGATTCAGAAAGAAAGAAAGAAAAAAAGAATTTATTACAGCTGATCAAGAAATCAAATTCTATTCTGAATGAAAATTTTCAACAGATTTTATTCTTTTTTGAAAACATTTTTTCAGAATTCTTTTTACAGAGAAACATTTTGGGCCATGATTTTTCTTTTTTTCTTGTTTTTTTTTTAAAAAAAACTAAGTTTTTTTTCTAAAGGAGAACAACTTTAAACAAAAGAAAATAAGAATTCATTTAGAATATCTAAGATGTCTAACAGCTAAGCTGCTTTTATATCAGAATTCCATCTGGGTTTTATAAATACCTGCCAATGTTCTTATCTGTATTACAGAAGTATCTGGAAGGTTCCTTGATTGCTTTTTTTTTTTTTTCCATCATTGCTAGACATAATTTTGCTTTCTTAGTGAATTACAAGCATACTTTCCTTTCAGCCTGGCCATCCTGTGTGAGCTAGCTTAAAGTTAAAGAAACAAATCCAGCCAATGAAGACAAGGGCTAAAATCTCAGGCCATGTTCATAAGAGCTGTGGATCTGACTGTATTAATTTCAAGTCACATTAAAGCTCAAGTTCTTTGTCTTCACTGTAATTGTGTAACTGTTCATTAGTTACCCAGTGTTGTTTTTTTAATCCAACTACTGTAATCTTCTAAATTCTTTGTTCGGCCAAAAGCTTTAATAAGTGCATGTAATTGGGCACAAGTGAACCCTGGTTGCCTGCTTGAGAAAGACTGGTGCTTCTCTGTGCTGAGAAAAGGCTGTGTCTCAGTGAAACAGTGAATTTTAAGCTTTGTATCACTCTTCACCTTCGAGGAAAAAAGCAAGTGATGATAGCGTTGCTATTTTAAACTTTCATAGGAGGCTGGCTTGGTATATAATTTTCTGTTTTCCCTTTAGCTAATGTCAGCATGCTGTCATGTGAATACAGGGCTGAGATGTAGATTAGTGTCTGCTTTCTGGTCAGGGTTTTGTATCAGAGTGGCGGTGAGCATGGGAGAGAGCTTCCCCTCTTCCTCCTCCTGCCCCATTAAAGTGCTGAGGCATAGTGGTCTGTCACCTCTCTGATGCTGTTCTTATGTCAGTTCTTGTCAGTATTGTGCCAGTACATTGCCAATGATTGTGCTTGTCCAAACACTGTTTGGGCTGCTTCTCTCTTCTGAGCATTGAGAAATTAAAATACTAATGGAGTAACCTGCAATTTCTGGTATACGGCCCATGGATGCTGTTTTATTGTGGAATAGCCCCAGATGGTGCATCTTCTCTCTCCAGACCAGAGAATGCTTTACTTCCTCAGCATCATTACTCTATCACCTGCCTCCCTCATGCTTAATGCCTGCAGTGTATGCACTGTGGCATTTCAGGTCCTTTTAACAGTCTGATGGAAAAGCAGCACCTTGTGCTCAGTTTCCTTTGATTCCCTGCCCTCCCCCCTCCCCCCATCTTGAGAGTGTAGTGAATACATGCATACTGGCTTCCTGTGATTGTCTGGTTTTGGTTGTAATTCCATTTACAAGTCCTGTTACAAGAAGCCACTCTGCAAGTTATATCCTTCTCTCATATGCCACTTGTGTGAGTCTGTGCAAAAACCCTCACATGCTGTTCCTCAGTTGCCTGGGTGAGGGCTGATGCTTTGTCAGAGCTTTCTAGCCATGGATTTGCAGGACCAGGAGCTGCAGCTTCAGAAAAATATCCTAAAGAAAGCATTTGTTGTGCAGCATCCTAATAGCTGTGCAGCTGGATCCCATGCAGATGTGTCAATCCTAGTCTTGGCCTAGTTAGCCCCTCCAACACCAGAGCAAGTAAGCAGTCCAAGCTATTTCTCGTCAAGAGAAAGGAACAAAACCACATTTCTGCTCCACTTCTCAGCTCCGGACTGTGCAGATTGAAGCACCTCTGCTCCTCATTCTGCTTCAAACTTCCGAAATGCTGTACCACATCTGGTGTGGAACTTGTCCACCACAGCCACCTTCCTTGTAGGCAACATCAGGCCATCTGTTTTTTTCTTTCAGTGTCCATGATTGATTCTGGCCAGAGACAACAGTACTGTTACCTCCCCAAGTTCACCTCAGTTGGTATGCAGCTGGTGGTTTAGACTCTGAAGTAAGACTTTGATGTTGGAATCGTCACTGGGTTCCTTGCCTCTCTCCCTGAAGCGGTAGCACAAAATCATGAATTCTGCCACTCCAGTCTTGCCATATTCTGTCTTGCAGCAGCAAAGTTAAGATTGGTGTTTTCAGCAGAGCACGCTTGCTTCCCTCCTGTAAGAGAGGTAATGATTAATAGCAAGAATGGCTCTGTGTAACTCAGATTACATGGTGAAATTGACTGGATTCTCAAACTGCACACTTACTCCTCTTGCTCAATTCTCAGTCTTCGTTGTAGCTCCAAGAAAATGTCCTGAATACCAGCCTGGGTGGTTCTTTTTTTTGCCTGAGGCCCTGCCTAGCTGCCGTTTCTGCCCATTGCTGTTGCTGTTTCTCTCCCCACAACCCCCCCAGCCTGCAACACTACCCTCAGCCAGTCATTTGCCCTTAAAGATCTGTGCTGTTAGGATAAGAATTTCAGAATCTCATTTTCCACCCCTAGTGACATCATCTTAAGGTTGTGTGGAAACGTCTTGGCTGTAGTTAAGATCTAGCAAAGGGTTTGGGCCATTGTCATGGATCACCTCTATCGAGTGTGCCCAGAGAGAGCCCATTCAAAGTTTTCTCTTTTGGAAGGATTCTCAGTTAACCTCAACTGAGGTATCAGCTTTTCTGTGTTTGTTTTTGGTTAGCTGGATTAATTTCCCCCCTTCAAGCCTCATGCCTTCAGGGTTTAGGCAACATTTCACAGCCTTAAATTGTGAGAACGGGACCAGGTGCTTCAGTACATTATCTGTGCTAGTTTTTGCAAGCTCAAAAGGGCTACAGAATACACTCACCTTTTGTTGTCATAGCAGTCCGTTAAAGCTAAATCTGCCCCTATGGGCTTTTGGATGCATTTTCCTCTTGCTACCTGGGCAGCCCCCCGGGTTCCACTTGTACCAAGTATAAGACACCTGAGAAACATCCTAGGCTAATGCTGCGTTGATAGGTTAGTAGTATTGTCTGTGGTACCTACCACCATATATGAATATGAACAACAGAATGTGTCACTCATTGGAATCACTGCTCACATTGACTCAAGTTAGCAGAAAAACTATTTACCAGAATCTTAATTCTTCAATATATGTCACGTGCATTTGCTTCCTGCCCTGTTTGCGTCCTCTGGAAAGTCCTCTGGCGATTACTG